TATATCATAGTTGCAATACACACATTTGTGGGAGACATGCTCTAAAACTGTTCCTGCTCGAGGGGCATAATTAACGAAGTTTGGGGACCACTCATCTGGGGCCTCGGGCTACAGTGGGCAGACAGCAGAGCCCTGGGTGCTGGGCGGGTATAAGCTATTATTATTTTATCCTCACCCAAGGATATTTTCCCATTGATTTCTACAGAGAGTGAAAGAGAGAGGGAAAGACAGAGAGAAACATCGATGTGAGAGAAACACATCGATTGGTCGCCTCCTGCACACGCCCTGACCAGGGCCCAAGCCAGGGAGGAGCCTGCAACCGAGGTACATGCCCTTGACCGGAATCTAACCCGGACCCTTCAGTCCGCAGGCCGACACTTTACCCACTGAGCCAGACCAGCTAGGGCTGGGAAGGTATACATTAGATCACATCTGAAAGCAAAGGGAGCTGACACAGGGCGGGCCCGGGGTTAGACCACAGGGCAAGGGAGGTCGGGGAGCAGCCGAGTGTCTGCATGGCCAGGAGTCGGCAAAGAGAGCGTGAAGGTGCTACGTGCCCGAGGGAAGCCTTCGCACTGTGTGTGGCGGGTGAGAGCACTCTTTTCCCTCTTGTGTCCCTGCCCTGTCAGCTCAGGCAGGGACAAGGCACCTGCTCTGGTCGACAAAACATGTGCAGAGGTGATACCCGCCACTTTGTGAGCAACACCTTCCTAGCCGACACTCGGCCACCATTCTCTCTCCCTCGGTGACTCTGGAGCCACGCTGCTCCACCGGCCTGGTCCCCGCGTGGAGGAGACGTGGGCAGAGCCACAGCAGACCCTCCATGGGCATGCGGTTGAGTGACAACACATCTTTGCTGTCCTCAACCACCAAGAGTTTAGGGTCATTTGTTTCTGCAGCTGAGCCTATGCTGTGTCTGTTCCTATACACAGAACTGACACAGTATTTAATAACTATCTCTCTATATAAAAGGCTAATATGCTACGTGTCCCTCCACCCGTCCTACTGGTCGCTAGGATGGGCACTGACCACCAGGGGGCAGATGCTCAACGCAGCAGCTGCAGAGCTGCAGTGACTTGGCAGTGGCAGTTCTCTGGTGACACACCCCAAAACCAGAGAGGAGGGAGCACGATTCTTTGTGGGGCCGTGCAATCCTACCTTCGGCCATGGGTTATGTTGTGGTTGGGGCACTGTCGGCCCTGAATCTGGTTTACTGCACACTTGTGTTTGCGTTCCACACCCTGTACGACAGCAACTTCACAGAGTGCCTGCTCATATTCCAGGACCTCTTGGGGGATGTCGGGAGAGCTGATTTCGGCCAGATCCCCGCAGGCCAGCCCGAGGGACCCCACCTGCCGGAGGGACCCCGCTCACTCCGCAGACGCCGGAGAGGGACCATGGGAGGTTGGCTCCAGGGCATGTCTGGCCCATCTGGCCCAATCCTGCCCCACTGGCCACCTTCTAATTAATTTCCTTTCACTGTGTATGAATCTGTGCACTGGGCCTCTAGTTATAGCATAAAAACCGTCAGAAAAAAATAGCAGCTGAGGTTCCTGTTATGCCCATGAGCTATCCCTTAGTAGTTAATCTGGGGGATGGAGCCCCAGGGAAGGGGCGGGGTAGCCAGGATTGGGAGGAAGAGGGACCCAAGGGGCTCAAAGCAACAGCCATTCCAGTTGGTACTTCAGTCCCACCGTGCCTGAGTTTCCCAGCGGACAGCGTCTCGTTAGCATGGACTTTCTCAGCCCAGGATTCTCACTTTAGATATGTGTCAGCCACAGGTTTATTTTCTGCTCCTTACAGCATGAGATTCCTCAGACTACAGTGTTTTGGCATGACCAGCTTCCTTGTGTTATTGTTGTTGTTATTATTGACTCAGTGCATCTCAGTAACGCACTCCTAGGCACAGGGAAAGGGAGAAAAACTCGGACAGCCACAGGGTTGGATCCGGTGGTGAAGGGCCCCACATCACAGACAACAACACTGCGAGACCCCACGGAGGCCGCTGACTTACCAGCTGAGGTAGCATGGCTGGGACTGCGAGGCCTGCACTTGCTAAATCAAGGCCCTGGCAACACCAATCCCTACCTCTAAAGAGTGTAGTTAGGAGAGGACTCGAAGGAAGAAAGCACGCAATACCTGCCAACCTACGGCTAACTCCCAAACGGAAAACAAACCCGAGATTCACTCCACTGACTTATTGCGCAGCAACTAAACGTTATTCTAAAATGTGGCTGAATCCCAGAGATATGGGCAGCCATGAGGCTGGTGGACCTGCATTCTTGGGCAATCGGGGTGCTGGGAACCAAATGCCCCAGTGATTGCCCATGCCTCCGCCCTACAGAGTGTAAATCCACTGGGCAGAATGCCAGGCCCTCTCACTGCATGCTCCCAAGCACTGAACATCACTGAGCCTGGAGACTTCAAACCCCCTATTTACAAAAAAGTGGGACTATGAATATGGGGGTGATTGTCAGCTACAGTATCCCTAGTCTCTCCTCACCAATGCTGGATTGGGAAGTTCCTAAAAGGCTGTGGGGCAATACCTAAAATACGTCCCAGACCTCACAGCCTTTAACTGCAGCTGCTCACCTGTTCACTCTGGCTTTGCACACAACCCCGAGACACCCGGCTCCTCTAGGCCATAGCAGAGGGGGAAACCAGATGAGAGTGAAAAGGCCCCGTTGGGCTCAGGTGTGTGGGGTCATGTGACTGAAAACACCAGAAATGGATTCTGGGGGGGGGGGGCGGGGGGCGCAGCTGGAATGTCCAGGAGACAGACAAAAACACGCACGGATTGGAATCCCATGTAGACTGAGGCACAAGACTGAGAACTGGAACAGGCGAGTTGAAGTGAGATCATAGGAAGAGAACAAAACTCAAAAAGAAAGTCAAGTTCAGAATCTGGGAAGCAGAAACCACGTGTGGGAGAGCGGGTGACCCGGCCCAGCAGCTGTGTCTCAGGCTCGGCCCTCCTCCCATGACCCACAGGAGGCAGGCCATTGCATCTTCCTGCACCCCAGTTCTCTCAGAACCAATGTGTGTGGAAAGCATGCACTCATTCAATAAATTTTCATTGTGCACCTACTATGTGCCAGGCACAATGCAAGGGGCAGGGGCAACATCAGTGAATAAAGAGATTCCACCGGCGTGGCAATTAGGATTCTATAGGGTAGAAACAACAAGGGTTGCTGATGGATTGCAGGCGGAGTCGCAGGGTCTTTAGTCAGCTCTTCCCGGGGAGGATGGGAAGTGGGTTTTAGCAACTGGGCTTAGAGAGGTAAGGAGTGACAGCTTGACTTCAAGGGTGTGGTAAAACCAGAAAAATAGTCTGCAGAGCCACACATCTCAGCCTCAGAGTCCATGCAAGCAGGCCCATAGCCCAGCCCTTCTCGAGAACACAGCCAGAGCCCAAAGCAATTCCTAATTTTCATAAAGACCCCGAACTCAAGTCCAGTGTACGTCTAGGTCGTGCTGGTGAAGGCAGCCTGGAAGTGTGCAGCGTTTCACAAAGTTTCCACCCCAGAATGCTTTTTTAAATGGTGCTTTAAAAAATAGTAGGAAGAATTTATGTGGAAAACTTGCCTCCCCAGAGGACGGTTCCCATCAGAGCCGAAGTTTCCTAACCCTGATCCCCAGAGGGACTGTAACCAATATCTCACTGCCCATCAAGGTCAGAAGTCACCTTACAGTTCACCAGGTGTCCACCCGTCTGAACATTCAAATTACCCCACACAGACGACTCTGCCCCCCGAACTGGCTCTGTACACTTATCATATTTCGGTTTTGCTTACATTTGTTTTGTTTTAGCTGCCGTGGTCTAGGCAGTTGCCAGGCTACTCAAACGGGTTCCCGCGGAAACCGCCACCTCGGAGACGAGAGGAGATAGTCCCGAGTGCACGCCCGGCGCGCCTGCCCGCCGGAGGAACAAGGAGAAGGGCGTGGCCCTGAGGGGCGTGGGCGTGGCCTCGGAGCGGGCGTGGGCGCATAGGGGCGGGGCCCGGAGGAGGGCGGGGCCTTTGGGGCAGGCGTGGGCTTGTGTGGGCGGGGCCGGGAGAAGGGCGGGGC